CAGAATCTTTCCACGAAAATTCTAGAAACACAAAAAAGATATATACATATAAAAGGAGGAGAGGGAGGAGGGATCCGCCCTCCATTGGACTACACAGAGGCTCCTCATAGGACTCTGCTGCTATCAACGTTGCTAAGGAAGAGGAGGTCCTTAGGGGGGGGGGGTGAGAGGGGAGGGGCGGGCGACCGGCCGCACGGGGGGGGGGGGGGCGCTAAGGACACCTGCTCTAGCGGTTACTTCTAGGATACAGACACCAACTGGAGTATAGGAGTGATGGGGAAACGAAATATGATATACGTATATACATTATGTATATATGTATATATATGTACATATATATGTGCATACATACATACATATATATATATATATATATATATATATATATATATATATATATATATAATATGTGTGTGTGTGTGTGTGTGTGTGTGTGTGTGTGTGTGTGTGTGTGTGTATATATGTATATATATATATATATATATATATATAGCAATACAATACATATGCATGTATATATATATATATATATTACATACTAATACATACATATATATATATATATATATATATATATATTTATATATATATATATATATACTTTATATGTGTGTGTTGTGTGTGTGTGTGTGTGTGTGTGTGTGTATGTGATATATATATATATTATATATATATTATGTGTGTATATGTGTGTATATGTATATATTGTATAATGTGTATATACATGTATACATACATACATACATATTGTGATTATATATATTATATAATGTTATTTATATTATATATATATATATATATATATATATATATATATATATTAATATATATATTTATGTATATATATTATATATACATACTTATAGATACATGCATACTATGATATATGCTATACATAAGTATACTATATATATATATATATATATATATATATATATATTATTATATATATATAATATATATATGCATATTATATAATAACATACAAATATCGCCAACGACAACAAGGAAACGCAGTTTCAATATGATAACGGCCTCAACAACCTCAACAAATATTACGTGTAACGAGGTTCCCGCTCACTGTATTGTGGAGAATAAGAATAAGAATGATATATAAGATGTATAAAAAGCGTAAGATGATATAATATAAAACATAAGCGTAAGAATGATATAAAACGTGAAACGGCCTTTGGTGTAGCTATTGGCGAAATCGACTCGGAAACCGATCTTCGTAACTCGATAATCAAAGAAACATCTCCGAGAGAGAAAAAAAGGTTCTCAAAATAAATCGCTGAAGTTGACATTTAAAAAAAAAGGATCTTTTGTTTATGTGATATGGTGGGTTTCAGTGCGGTCGCGAGTTCAGCTTCCGCAAGAAGGGGAAACTCTTTCATTTGGCGAGCGGAGCGGAGAGCCAACGTCTGACTGAAGGAAACGAGAAATCAGTCCGATAAGTTTTACCAGATATTTGAACTAGATCATATATATATATATATATATATATATATATATATATATATATATATATATATATATATATATATATATATATATATATATATATATATACATATATATATATATATATATATATATATATATATAATATATTATATATTATATATATATATATATATATATATATATATATATATATATATATATATATATATATATATATATATATATATATATATATAAACAGACATATGCAGTATACGTTGAAAGAGATGAAGACAAGTCACCGTGTCTTTCCATGTTATAAAGTAAGTATGATTTTTATTACATATAAGAACAAGATTCCCTATTTTATCATCGAGTCTGGACCGCGTCTTCATACTGAAAAAAAAAAAAAAAAAGTGTAAGAGATGAATAAATCTCTCTAAAACTAAGATTGTATATATGATTATGTTTAAGAGATCCAACGTAAAACTGTCTCGCCTTGTTGGGAAAATCGTAACTTTGGGAAGGTCTTCAGAAAGCCTCAAGTTTCGTTTACAGCGCTTTATGCGATTTGTAAGTATATAAATAAGAGAGAGAGATAAAATTTAGGCATATGTAATAACTTCCAATTGTTTTCCAAATATATATCTGATAGATTATTTTTCTGACAAAATAGTAAACATTATATTTATTATTATTATTATTTTTTTTTTTACATTTTGTAGTTTCAGGAGATGGCTGCCCTAGAAATGATTTGGATTAAAAGGAAACCAAATGCATGTTATCCCTTCGTCTGTCTGGGACCAGGTTTTCAGCGTTCGATCACCCTGATATAGAGTCGAGAAACGATTAAAAACTCCTTCAGAGAGGATTAAATATGTCATTAATAATATAGGAATTCGATAAATCCTCTACATCTACGAATTTTGATAAAATGTGTAATGATATTGCATGGGAGTGCAGTATCGGCTAAAACAAACACCTATAACTACGGAACAATAATGATATTAATAATGTGTGGACGCCATGGCCACCGACGTTGCTATATCGTGTTTTT